AAAAAAAAACAAGATCACGTCTTCCAAGGGCAAGGCTCTAGCCTGGCTCTAGACCTGGGTAGTCCATGGTAGCTAGCGACAATACGGAGCCTGGCACCCAGCTGCAGGCTACCGAAGCTCCACGACTCTCAAGAACTCAGTACATACGTACAGTGCCGATTCATAAAGTCCGCAAAAAGCCAGCATGTGCCGGCTTGTCGTATACGTACCCATGTACTGCCGCAAATTCACAATACCAGTTTTGTATTCCTGTGGTTTAGTAGCATTTCTATTTTTTGCTGGAATTTTTTCCCGCGCGCACTAGTTTAGGGGTCTTCAGAGGATGTCATCCATAAAATTAAGTCGGTGTGGCCTAAGCACAAATTAGGGAAAAATCTTATCTAAAGCTCTCAAACTCACACCAGCTTTAATATAGTCACCAGTATTTTATCTGATTAACCCCTGCAGCCCAGAGCAAGAAACTAGATGGTACATACACAAGGATGTTAAGAACAGTGTATAATGTTTCATGGAGACAACATGTATGACAAACAAACAACTCTATGGCTGAGACTCTCCTGCCCATTTCGTCTGTAAAAAGACGACGTAGACTCGCCCTGGCAGAGCATGTTGTTCGTAGTAAGGCCACAACAAGTCATTTTTATGGATGACGTCAACTAGCGCATTGATGTTTACCTGATTTTTTAAAAAAAAAGAAGAAATTTTGTTGCCTTCTGACAGTGGTCACTATGCCGAAAATAAGCAAAGATGTCAGTTGCCAAGCCGGAAGGTGGATGGCAGATAGCTATGAAGAGAGGAGACAAGAAAAGGCTCTAAATTTAATGTTTTATTTCTTACTTTGATGCAGTGATATGTGATGCTGCTTGTGTATGTGATGTTCCCACTGAATTAAAACCATTTGTACAATGATTGAGTTAAAATTTTAAAATGAAGGAACCTTGTTTTTTTTCAGCCCGTCTTGTTTTTTTTTCGCCCGCTCGCATTAGATTTGGAGTCTGCGGAAGATGTCATCCATAAAATTTACTTGCTGTGGCCTTAGGGACGATCCGTACCTTTAAAACACGCGAGCCCAGTCTAGTCCTATATATCAGCAGCGTACATGTATCTATTCAATTGATCTTAAATCAATCTTGGGAGCTTTTAAAGCAATCTAAAGAGATCTTAAAACAATCTTGAAAAGATCAGTTTGACTTTACCTCCGAATTATCACGGAGGCATTTTTAACAGGGTCGCTAACACGAGACTATGTATGCGGCTTAACTTGTAATTGAAATAATTACTGTAACATTCGGAAAATAAGTTTGTCATAACTTAGGCCATGTTGATTTGATTATATGGATGACATCCTGTGGCAACCTGGAATCTGATGCTTAGCGTGCGAATAAAAAATATTTGCAAAAAAAAAAGTTGCTTTCATTTTGAAATCTACGTGGTTATGAAGGTAGAACAAATGACACAGAGTATGGTATGGCGGATAATTATCTACTCGTCAAATTAATTTCTTTACATTTTCATCTTTTTCGTTTGATTTTGGCATTCTACCACATTGGTATCGTTTTCCAATTTTTTTTCAAGTAACGGAATATATCTGCTGAATTTGCAACTGTTTTGTACGATTTACAGTATGGCTGAAAACCCTTTTTTTTAAACGGCCGAAAATTCATGCACGCACGGATGTCATCCATATAATGAAATCAACATAGCCTAACATCTAGAAAATAATTCGTCATAACTAATAAGAAGGCAACTGACAAGCCCCCCCCCCACTCCAGGTCTGTCTGCCACGACGGTGTTTCATCCGCCCGATGACGTCACCACACCTATCTGCCGGAGCGGCACCTGTCACGTGACCCAGAAAGACCGATACGAAGGTAGGTGCTTACTGAACATTTTTTTAATACTATCATGAAAGTTCATCTGTGTTGGTAGTTACATGTTTAAAAATTAAAAGTTTTGGTCCGACACAAAAAGTCCTCTCACCTAGAACTTTCGACCAGTCACTTTACACTTCCTCAGTAGACTAACCCAGTGAGGCTTGTCACGTGGCTTCTTTGAAGTGTGTCGTCAACACTGGGTCAAAGGTATTTGGTAGACGATGTCGGCCCCCGTCGCGGTTAATTGAAGGGTGGCGGGCCCTGATGTAAATCGCCTCCTTCACCCCTTTTAGGAAATATTTTTTTATCTTTTGTAAATACAGGCATTATAATAATAATGAAAGTTTATGGCAAATACATTCCCGAGGGTTAATTGCAGTTACAAACAACATAAGAAAGAAAATACAGTGGTATGTGATACTATATCTACTTCTAGCATTATACTATATACATGGTACTAGTTTTACTGGGTTTCACTTCTTCTTTTTAGGCAATTGAAGACGAATTTACCCACTTCTTCTATAATATGTGGTTCTTTGATTTTAGTAGTAAAATTGTTTTTTTTTTTGTGGTAGGGAATGGTGGGGAAGTAAGGGCGCAATTTTATAATATACTGATCCTCTGGCGACTATGCTGGCGAGTGATTAATAATTCGATTACCAGCTGCATCTACGAAACAGGAGTACACTGTAATCCAACTTGGCGCGAATACCGGCATACGGAAAGCCTGTATTGTCTACACATGTTCTAAACACTCGAAATCTTAAGCCGAGTTTGGCCTGCCAAACATTTCCATCCATGGTTAGGAGTACAGGGGTGCCAGAGTATACAGTGCAGTTTTACATTTACCGAATACAGTGCAATTGTACGGAATACAGTGCAATTTTACTAGTATACATGTACTACCATTTCACTGTATACTACGATTGCACTGTATACTAATACGATTGCACTGTATTCCGTAAAATTGCACTGTATACTAATACCATTGTACTGTTTTCCGTAAAATTGCACTGTATACTAGTAAAATTACACTGTATTCCGTAAAATTGCACTTTATTCCGTAAAATTGCACTGTATTCCATAAAATTGCACTGTAAACTAGTAAAATTACACTGTATTCCGTAAAATTGCAATGTATTCCGTAAAATTGCACTGTAAACTAGTAAAATTACACTGTATTCCGTAAAATTGCACTATATTCGTAAAATTACACTGTATACTAGTAAAATCGCACTATATTCGTAAAATTACACTGTATACTAGTCAAATTGCACTATATTCCGTAAAATTGCACTGTATACTCCGGCACCCCTGGAGTAGGTGGGGGAAAAGGTTGGCTGGTGTATGTTTTTGGCCAGGTTGGCTACTGTTTCAGCCGAACGCTTTCAAAACATTCAAAACATTCGGGTATGGACGGGAGCTTAGGGCATACTTGTCTGGTGGTTGGCTGGTGTTCGGGAGAAGATCGTGGCGTGTTTTTATGGTCTTTTAACGAAGCCAGGTACTCATTCCCACTTGGAGTGAGGAGTTTGGTGAAAAGTTTCCCAATGACACAGCAGTTTAGCTCATTGAAGAGCTAATCTTCCACTGGTCGTGACAGAGAAGACAGACGCTATGTACAGTATTTACAGGTTCATTGTACCGGGGAAATTCCCCTAGCTCTTTTCGACAAGCACAATGAACAATGGACCACGGCATAACGTCCCGTCCGTAGGACAGTAGCGTGCATGTCGGGTGAGCGACAACAGCCGGGATTCGAACTCCCAACCTCTTAGTCCAGAGGAAAAGGTCGCTAACCACCGGACTACGCACGCTAGTAGTTAAGACAACAACCCTAACCACAATGCCATCTGTCACCACTTGTTTGGCTTAATCACTTTCAACGGAGCCAGAGGTTTCATTCAAACCAGGTTGTCCAGTTTTCATTGGAACCAGCTGAAGCAATCTTGTGTGAAAAACAGTTTTGCCCATTTCTTGGCGTATAATTAACACCTGGAACCCTGTGGAGTGTCCAAGGTCAAGGAGAGACAAGTTACCACAGGGCAGAGATGACCTGACCGTAGGGGTCAAGAGAAGTCGTTATTGCTTGAAACACGTCGGCAGAAAGTGCTGTGCCTGTGTAAAACCCGTTTTTTTTACACTTTTTGCTGATCGTTAGAAAGTCCTATAATTTATCAATCAGCAGATATAAACTTTCCTCATTAACTATGACAATAAGGCCCCAGTTAGCATATGTGTTTTTAAATTCCTATTCACCCAGCTATATATATTTACGGATTTGTAAAGGAAGCGTAAAGATATGAAATATGTTTACGTCGTATTTAAGCACATTGAAAGACGACGGAAAGGCGGACTTTGCACTTTACGAAGTCGTAAAGTCTACTGTAATACTAGTATTTTCTCACCTTTAATACTTCTTTACATATTGCGGAAAGTTTGCTTAAATGTCTGTTTTTGTGCTGTGCAGATTAGCTACCAGTTGAAAATTATAAAAATCAGTTTTAAATGTTTAGAGTTATTCTGCTGCAAGGGAAACCAAACTTTTGTGTTTTCTTCCTTAACCGAAAAGCCTTTTACCGGGGAAAAAATCTTGACCATACCATGTTCAGAGAACAGAAGATACAAAAACCGAAATAACTGCTGCAGTACCAAAAAGAGCACCTAGGGGACCCAAAATCTCATCATATCCAGATTTGGGGCCACCCTATCTACACAACAAATATCATTAGATTCTATTTATACCTTCTTGAGTTATGCTGTTCACAGACAAACAAACGAATGAACAAATGCTACTAAAAACATAACCTCCTTGATGGAGGTAATAAAATTGAAAAAATAAAAAAGGCCGACGGGATTTCTTTACACTTTAAATGTCAGAACGAAATAATCGCCCAAATATTTTTAAAAAATTATACCAAATTTGGTAGGGAAATTAAATAAATATAGGACACATTACATTTGTCGAATTAGATCTTAGAACATTAACAGAAAGTATCCAAAGTCAAAGAATTGGCAGGAGATCAGTAAAATAAATTCACGTGGAGTATAATACTGAACTTTCTAAACGGTCCCCAGTCATTGCATTCCTTACGTCGACAGGGTGTGGGTCAGGGTCAAGTATAATTCAACCCTTTGTTGATACAAGGTCGTCTGAAGGTCAACCTAACACCTTCTTTAAGGAAAATTATTCCTCATTTGTGTTGGTGAGGGTTAAAGTTCGACCTCCTCTATATCATTAGAAGTGTTTAGTAGCGTTTTTCCATCGTCGCCTTGAATTGAGGAAGGTTAATTTCTCAATTTCACGGACTTCTTCACTCGACGTTCGTGTTAATTACTTAATTACTGTATACCGGAGAAACCTCCAGAACAATAAGGGAGCTGTTTTGGGTGGAAACGTATCGTTTTTGTGGAAAATTAACCAAGTTCGGGCTTCCAGGTGGTTGTTTTCATGTGCCCGGGGACTGAGAGCAAAACAGGATGGAAACAGGTTTTGACTGGACCTCGTGGCTAATTTTTGACATAGCTTTAGTTTCCCCAAAGTCTTGTAAGTTGATAGTACCACTTAGTGGTAGATATATCTAATGTGAAACTCTTGTGCCATAGGAACATGAAAATCAGTGGTCTCTTGATTATGACCTTGTACACTCACACACACACACACACACACACACACACACGCGCACACACACGCACGCACGCGCGCGCACGCACGCACACACGCACACACACACAACGTGACACACACACGCACACACAGACACGCGCACACACACACGCACACACACACACACACACACACATACACACACGCACAAATACACATCATATCATACCATGTACACCACTGCAGTACCATACAAAGCCGCTAAAAGTATAGTACAAACCTGCTACATTAGCTCAGACCCTGACGTCGTCCCAACCCCAACCTACCTACCAAGTATTATAAAGATACATGCACAACACCCCATGTTATAACAGGTTAAATATCGCCACCCCTCTATATGTTATACTTATAACATAGCCTTCTCGACGAAGGTAGTAAAATGCTTCTTGCACGAACTGTCATGCGGTAAACGCATTGAGGCCATATTGATTTGATTATACGGATGACATCCTCTGAGAACCCCAAAACTGACGCGAGCGAGCGAATAAAAAAAAGTTTTGCAAACAAAAGTTGCCTTCATTATGAAATCTGGGTGTTCATGAAGGTTGAAAAAATGACTAAACACACAGAGGATGGCTTGGCGAATAATAATACACTCTTTACTTTCATTTCTTCACATTTTCTTCTTTTCTTGAATTGATTTCGGCATTCTTATGACATTATTTAGTATCGTTTTCCAATACATTCTTTGCACCATACGACATATATTCGCTCATTTTGTACGATTTACAGTATGGTCGAAAACGTTTTTTTTTTATTTTGGAAACGGACGAAAATTCATGCGCGCGCAGATGTCATCCATATAATCAAATCAACATGGCCTAATTACTATAACACATTCTTCTTCGTCTTCTAGATCTTTCTGTCCTTCCACGTGCCCAGTCCCACACGTACGGCGCCCCACGTTCTCTTGTTGTTCCTGGCAAGTGTTTGGGAATTTACGGGGAAGGGTCGCGTGTACCTCTTCCAACCGAGCTGTGTAATTTCCATCGTTTTCTTTCAGTTTTGCCAAGGCACAATGACAGATGAGACCCTTAACGGCGTCTTGGTTCATGCCAGGGTTATAGGCCACAGCAAGTCATTTTTATGGATGACATCAGCGCGCGCATTCATTCTTGCCTGATTTTGGAGAGAAAAAAAAATTGTTGCCCTCTGACAGTGGTCACCATGCCGAAAATGGGCAAAGATGTCTGTTGCCATGCCGTAAGGTGGATGGCAGATAACTATGAAGAGAGGAGACAAGAAAAGGCTCTGATTTAATGCCGTGTTTCTTACTTTGATGCAGCGATATGTGATGCTGGCTGTGTATATGTGATGTTCCTACTGAATC